AGATATTTTCTTGAATTATGAATAACACGAACGGATTGAATTATTTATCTCAAAATAAACCTTCATTTCGGTGCAATATTGAAATTAGCTTGAATTCTTCATAACCTCTGAATAGTGGTTGACTCAACGGGTCATGGTGGTCTAGTTACTTATAAAGATTAGAATGTATTATTTCATCAGGTGGAAATCTTCGCTGTTAGCGATACTTTCTGTCGTAATTTAGGTTAGTCCTCATTCCAAATACTGAACCAACGATGCAAAATAATATTTATAATAAAAATATCATAATAACTTTAATATAAAATGTAAAAGATTAAACATTCTAATCACTGGTGTTAATGAAAGTAACAATAAAGACAGACTAGAGTATACCTTCCAGAACACATAAACACGAGTGGTTTGCCTCATTTAATGTCTTTCCGTACAATACTTCAAATTACATATTCTAGACTCCTGCCAGAAATATAAAGTTTTATTGTTAAGTAATGATCATATTAACGCTGTATATTTACAACTTAAGCTCGCATAAATTATATGATATTCTATAAGATATTCCTTTTATGCATTACTTAGTCACGAGAGGGCAATAACTTAATCGGAAGCGGTGAGGTATGGAAAGCTCTTACGAAACTTTTTTCTTTGCAGAAACATTACGCTCTTTCAAATATTTTCAAACCAACCGAAACAAAGGGGGGGGGGGGTGCGATATGAGCCAACATCTCCAAATTATCGTGTTTAAGGTTATGATCAAACAAAACAAACGACAACAATAATATAAAGAAAAAGCTAGCCTACAATTTATTGTGTTTGAGGATGTGATCAAACAAAACGAATAGTAACAAACTCAAAAGGGATAATATAGACTACCAGCTAGCCTACATTTTATAATGTTTAAGGATACGATCAAACAAAAGGGAAAATGACAAACTAGAAAGGGAAAATATAGACCAACAGCTAACCTACATGTTATCGTGTAAGGATGTAATCAAACAAAATCAACAGGAACAAACTATAAATCGA